GCTCCGTAAGCCTGTTGGCTGCTGTCACAAAATATGTGCAATTGTGTTTTGTAACGTTTGCGAATAAGTACTGTCTGGGTACTTCAATTGAGGTTAAATTGTGGATATCATCAGTCCATTTTAGCCACTGTTCTTTTTGTTCGTCTGGAAGACTTTCATCCCAACTTAAGGTTTGTTTCCCCAGGTCTTGAATCATAATCTTTGCCTTTACTGTAATAGGTTCCACGAAGCCGAGCGGGTCAAACAATTTTGATGCGAAGCTTGGCGTTGTTCGTTTTGTTGTTTTTGTGATAGCATCTCTTTCTCTGATCATTTTCTCAATTGAAAGTGAGAGCGTGTCACTTGTTGAATTCCAGGTGAGTCCCAAGATTTTTGTTGTTGGATCTGCTTGTATATGATCTTCTTGTGCTATGCGATTTAGAGCTTCTGAGTTAGAAGTCCATTGGCGTAGATTCATACCTGCTTCTTGAAGGTACCTTTGCGATAATGAGTAATATTCTAAGGACTTATTATCGCAATCAGTTCCGGTTATCACGTTATCCATATACATGTTCTCCATGAGGTCCCGTGCTACCCAGTTGTCCTTTTGACTTAGGTGATATTGTATTGTTGCGTTCAGCAGAAAGGGCGAGGGTGTCGCTCCAAATAGAACTCGGCAAAATCTGTAAGCCTCCAAGTTGCTTTTAGTGTCAACTGTTTGATTTATATCTTTAAGCCACAGGAATCTCGTTGCGTCTCTGTCTAGGGAGTTCAGTTCGATCTGTTAGAAGGCCTTTTCTATAGCTGCAGAGAAGGCCTTTTTGTGTGTTCTGAATTTTAAGAGAATGTGAAGGATCAGCAAGTTTAAGTCCTTGTAATTCCGGCGGTATCTGTAAATTTTTCACCTTAGCCGATAGTGGTGGACAAATAACTGGAGTTACTAGGGCTGTTATTTTGATATTTTCTACTTCTGTTGACAATGTCAGTGCCACAAGGTCGTATGTTTTTCTCCTGCCTTGAAGTGTACCGAATGTCTTCACATCTAAAAGTTCGCTTCCCATTGTTCCTAGTTTAAGGTTTGTGTTTCATCTCCTGAGTGATAAAGGTTCTTTGTGATCCTGTGTCAAATAGGATGCGTTGAAGTGCTGCCTTGAAGTGTACCGAATGTCGTCACATCTAAAAGTTCGCTTCCCATTGTTCCTAGTGTAAGTTTGTGTTTCATCTCCTGAGTGATAAAGGTTCTTTGTGATCCTGTGTCAAATAGGATGCGAGCTTGATAGTACTGTTTATTGTTTCCACTTATTTTCGTAACGGCGGATTGCATCAGGATATGAGCTTTAGAAGGGAGTACATGCGTTGCTCCCATGTGGGTTCTGTTCTTCGACACGGCATCCGCTGATAGGTGATCATTCTTCGGCCCTTTGTCTTCCTTTAGTTGACTAGAAGCGCTTTGGGTTGTATTTTCTTGGTTTTCATCAAAAATTGAAGTGTGGTGTTTTTTCTTACATTTCATACGTCGCCCCTTTGAGAAACATTGGATTTTTGTGTGGTTGAGACCAAGACAGTTAAGGCAGCGCTGTTGGCGCTGAAGTAGGGATCGTCGTTCCTCTACTGTTTTAATCTTGTTGCACTTTTCAGGTCGATGTGTTCCTGCACAGTACGTGCAAGGCCTAGGTGTCTTTTGTTTGGCGTTGTAAGTTCCGTGTCGTTGTTGTGTACCGGTTAGTTCAAAAAATCAAACTAACTTAAGCAATCGTTAAAGTGTCGGTTTGACAAAAGTGGGAGAATATCCAAAGCAATGCAGCTTCCTAAAATTATTGTACGATCTGCGTTTTAATTTCTGTGGGTGAAATTGTGTTAAACTATAAGGACGTATTAGGAACAAAGATGTTTGAGGACTAAACGGTCGGACATGTACGTCTGGCTAAAACAATTCGTTCTCAGCCCTCAATCTCAAATTGTCTTTATTTCTTACTATTTTTCACTTTGATTACATTCATGCATCAAATGGAACAAAATGGTCCTTTATTGGGAGGTTAGAAAAATATATTTCGTCTGAGCAAATCCAAGGAACGAACACGTACATACAGGGCTTACTTCTGGATGCTTTGCAATATGGCACGTCGCCTTGCTTTGCACTTCATTGAACTGAGTTCCACTGAATCTACAATTTGATGAAATTAATACGCTCTGAAAAGCGCCAATTTGTTTGGTATTTCATTTTCAAAACAAATGGATATATGCGGTCAGTTAATTTTAAAAGCACGATGGAATCTGTTTCTCCGTGTCACCCAACGCCGCTTTTTTGTCTGTTTCGAAAAAAATTTTTAAGCCTCATTATGTCAGCAATGCGATTAACATCATTCATACATTTGCTTTGTCTGATTCATTCTAAGTTGAGATGCTTAATTAGCTCAATTGACTTTCATAGGAAACGTAAATAGATGCCTTGCGAGGCTTACCGGCGAACTGCACAGCAAAACGGACTTTTAAATAATCCACGAGAGCTGGAGATCGCACTTGCCAAGCATGCGAGTTATCAAGGTTGGTGTGCCCCCCCATTTTCTAGTGGGCTTCCGCTGATTTTCCATCTTTTAATCAGCCATCCTTTACGTGTCAGCAAATATTTTTGATCAAGCAACTGGAGTCCTTCCTAAGTATCCTCCTTGAGGTTTTCTCTGCCTTCCTTCGCATCTACCTTGCGCAATGACTACTCCTTTTAAAAAATTTCTGCCGGTAGCTCATTTAACCTTGTTTCCCAGTAAGAGGGCATCAACTTGCTGACTATCAGCAAAAAACGTGACTGCCGAAAGTAGATTAACGCGCACATACATAAACAAAATACAGAAACGGATAAATAAAGGAAAAAAAATCCATTAAATAGAAAAAGAAGGAAAATTTGAACACCAAAGCTCCAAGGGTTAATAGCTTTAATTGTTTTTACAAGGTCTGGTATCTCGCACATTGGCTTTTTATGGTGATTACATTTGCGCTAATATTAATGATGTCGCAAGAGTTACTTAAGAGCCTGGCATGTTGATGGTTTCAACACAAAATCCGCGGCATTTGACTCAGCCAACGGGTAGAAATCTTCCCATTTCACTACGGGGTTTCCGTTCGTTCCATCGCAAGTCTTAGTACTCTTGAGAATCTCTTCGTCTGTAAGAATTATGTCCCACAGAACAAAACCAGTCATAAAAACCCAATTACTGGTTTTCCTATTTTCCATGCTCCCTAAAGCCGGAAATCTGCCCCTCACCACGAGACCTGTCCCACAATCGTCACGTGAGCGTATCAACTTTCCATCTACGTAGAATTTCACGTAGCCCGTCTTTTTCCATATGAAACACATTTGGTGCCAATTGTGATCCTTGAGTCCGTTAAACGTGGCAGAACTAGTAAGCGAGATGGAAGTATAAGTAAAATATTATCGTTTTTCTTTCAAAAGCGTTACTCATTGAAGCAAAGCCGCATTGTTTGGATAGTATAGGAAATTTATCCAAGTTCAATTTGAAGAATTTCTCAGTCATCCTTCGGCCGCGTGAGGGTTTCTTTGCTGTTAAATCACAATTTAAAGAAAAAAAACCTTAGTTATAACTACAACAATTATTGTAAATGCTACAACCTTACTGTCGCTTCTCTTTTGGTAATCTGTTCAAAGTCAAGAGAGGTTACTTAGACCGGAAAGCTCAGTTCATTACTATTGCGACGTAAGAGTAAATACCGCAAGTTATTCAGTGGTATGACACCTTTCTCTGGTCTTTGAACCGTAGAACGCTGGTTTTGTTTGAACTTCCTTTGCAAGTTGGAAACAATTGAAACAGTTCCCGTCAATTCGCTTTGCTCTCACTTTTCAGAAAGTTAGAAACAAATCCCCTTAATTTCTTGATCCCAGAAGGTATGAACAAACTACTCTCTTTATGCTCAGTAAAGGTATTTTAATTTTTTTTCATAGATGTCAAAGTTATGTCAAGTCAACTGTAAAGCGAAGGAATATGCTCTAAGTCTATTGAATGTTTTGATAGACAGTCAGTATTTATTTGTGTACATTAGAACACCGTTTCAAAGCAGCTCAAATCAATAGCAGCTGGTGAATCGCAGTTGAAGAACGTGTTTCTTAGGTGTACATCTTCCTAATCTGAGGGTCTCCATAGTGTTAGTTATTAGAGGTCAACGGCCATTTGACAAATCCTAACCGTTAGTCGTAAAATAGTTAACCCTTAAAAATTTTTCCTATCAATACAACGCGTGCGCGAGAGTTAGAAGGTTTAATCTACCTATGAAGTTGTATGACAAATAACTAACCATGCAAAATAATGGTAACTTGCTTTGTTACGCGCAGGTGGTGGGTAAGTTCGCTTCACTAAATCCTTCCCCAGTAAGTGTTGAAGGTTTACGACCACCTTACAACGACTGTTTACATTTGCAGGTCTGTCAAATAAGGTTACCTTCTATGATAAATAACTCACAAATTAGCTAAAATTCACCAAAGGCTTCCTTATTTTACAGTGTGTTAAGCCAAAGCGCTGGGTAAGTTCGCTACATCAAGCAAAAGGCAATATGGAGAACGAATGTGGAGAACCAAAATGCTGTCTAGCCTTGATAGAAGGCATTGTTCGAAAGTTGGAAAAATTTTTTTGGCCAGTTTAAGGGCATTTTTTAAGGGCAGAGGCAACCGTTAAAAAGAAAACTGTAAATTGGGCTCGAACAAGGCTTACTATGATTGTTTACTACAACAAACTTGTGAAACGAGCCTTACTTGTTATTGCCAATTGAACCGCTAATAATAATCAACTCGTAATAACTTTTTAAAATTTAACAAAAGTACAAGACAATTTCAAAGATCACAAAAGCCCTCATTTAAATAATAATCGTGTTTTGAACATTTACGGACTTGGCCGCATTTGTTCATGTTCACGTTACCTTTTTGGTGGACACCTCCCTCTTAGCTTACGACGAGGTTCGAAGGTAAGAAGCCAGATTGTCATTTTTTGTTTATTTCTCTCACAGAACAATGGGAAATCTCTACCTGGTCATCGTACTTTTTCTAGTCCTTCCAGATCCGGCATGTAAGTGTGATTATTTTATTTCAGTACCGTGTTCTTACTCCAACAGCTTCCTCTTTTCTTATCGCCTCGAGTGCGAGCGTCTCATAACAAAATAATAATAGGCAAAGTCGGCCCTAGCGGTTTATCTTTCACAGGATAGAGGTACATGAGAGAGAATTACCGAATAGGCGCCTTTAGGGAGAGAAAGAGATTGAGAAGTACTGCCTACGACGTATTTAAGAGGTCTAATGGTCGAACAAATTACTCAAATGAGAAGGGAGAGAAATACGCTCCTTCGCTGATGTGTTGCTTTGTTCTCTCCTATGTGATGACGCTATAGCTCCTGGATGCAGTGTTTAACTTTAGGCATGTGAAAGTGAGTTTAATTTTCTATGGGAGAAAAGTAAAAAGAATACACTCTAGTCAGAGCTGGTGATAGTAAGGGTTTGTATTCCCCATAAAAATATTTTCATATAGTAACCAGTGATACTTTCTTTCCAAAGTGACGTTAAATAATTTTCAGCTGACATAAATTGTAACTTACCTTTTCGAATGAAAAGAAACGAGAGTTTCTGAGTGAACAAGCATTTATCATTTTTTCTAGCTTTCAGTTCGTACGAAAATCTACTAATTATTAGTAGCGTTCCATACTTGAGAAGAAATACGTGCGATCGAACACGTAAGTACCACACTTTGCTTATTTCTCGTTTCAATCACACAACATTTGTTTTGAATGTTGGTAACAGATTACCCAACATTTTTTCGGGATAAAATGATAAAATGCATCGAGGAAATAAAATGATTCCTTCTAACTTCTCTTTCAGAGTGCTTGGAAATTATTGCCACCTTCATTTTATCGCGTGCTCGGCACTAGTTCCTCTAATATCAACATTGATTGCCAAGTATCAACAAATACACCGCTTCTTCAGCCAGGCATGCTGTGAGCTTATATCTTTCGGGAAAAATTACTGCATTTTTCATAAAAGGATATGATACTTGTACCAATCAATTTATATTTGAATCCTTCGGACACTAACACCTGATCAATATCATTTTGACTTGTAGCGAGGGAGCTTTTTGATATCTTGATTAAGCCAACGTTGACCATGAACTCATTTTCTGTGGAGGACATTCCAGACTTATCAGAAATGACCATCTGTTTGTGGCTTAAGATTGGAGCAGGATGGAGCAGCAATTCAAACAAAAGAATGTACCTTGTCTCCTATGACGTGGATGCTCTAAATACATTGAAAACAAACAGCTTCTTTCTGGCCCTCGACGACAGCAAAAGTCTTGTCTTTGGAATTGGAAATGAGGCAAAGCCATGGTAAATGATTTATCAGTTGGTTTCGTTGATTGTATCGTTATTAAAGTGGAAGTTCAAATACAGCGTGCCCAATAGCGGTGGTGGATGATCTCGATCAATCTGCCGCTTTGAGCCCCTAGGATGTAATCTTCATCTGGTTATATAGAGATCTTTACAAAGGTGCCAAAACGGTTTATCTTGTTAAGTTATGACTTATATTGTGAAGATAGGATTATGTTTTATCGGTTACAAACCTGACATGTGTCGTAATCTATGATACGTTGTAAAATTATAATGCAACTTTCTTGAATGGTTTTCAAAGGCTACTATAATCTCTGTAGGTGCAGTGCAATTTTCGGCTCATGCAATCGTAGGGCCAAATTATACCTAACTTATTAATAAAATAAGTTAACTGACGTTTTCTTCCTTTTAGTACTTTCGACGCTACTAATCTGATGGATGACCAATGGCATCATATCTGCATCTTATGGGACGGCGCCGCAGATTCAGGATACACAAGTTACTACAGGGACGGAGCTGAAGTCAAATTTCAACCCTGTTCTGTCGGCACAAGGAACGCTGGTGGAGCGCTCCAACTTGGAGGAGGAGAAAGAACAGAGAACGTGGAGATAACAGGGTTTAATCTGTGGAATAGAATACTCACGGAATCAGAGATTGCTGAGGAAGCTAATAAGTGTGATGGAGGCATGGGTGGTCCAATTGTGAAATGGAGAGAGTTCTATAAGAAGTCACTGAGGAGGAATTTTATAAGAGAGTTGTCTCAGTGTGTAGTTTCTGGAGGTAAATATCTCAGCGCCATTGACTTTGACTGAACGTGTGAAGCTCTTAAAAACTATTGGATCACTCGTCCTTCTTAAATTGGTTAAATTCCAATATGTTACCATGGACGTTACCAAGGCCATTGTGATACATGTTTATGTATTCAGTTCAATTAATTGTAGAACACTTTAATCTCACAGCAGCCGTTACCTGGGAGTATCCGTGAGTACCAGTGCAAGGACGCTTCCTTGGGCTGCGACTGCACTGCCGTGCAGTGATGGGATAGTAGTCTTTTAGGACTAACACAAGTAGTATTTATATAACTTACAGCCAAAGCTCAGCAAAGTTCTCTAAGGCACGGCATTCACGGAAAGCAGCTTCTTTATAAAGTATAGTTCTCATTTATAGTTATAGCTTAATCCTTTCGCAAATAGCTGTTGATGGAGGCTACACTGGATGGTCAGTGGTTTCTGAGTGCACTGCCACATGTGGTGGAGGTACCAAGACTCTCGTCAGGACCTGCAACAATCCTCCCCCAGCGAGGGGTGGGAAGGACTGTAAACACCTTGGGGCAACCAGGAAGACACAGGAGTGCAATACACAACCTTGCCGTATGTTCTATTATACATACATTCATGATTTCTACCTTTCTCTTTATTCAGTAATTAACGTGATTTCAAATATCTTTTAGTTTTTCTATACACCCACAGCTACAACCGCGCCATACGTTCTATTCTCTATTCAACATATACCTTTTTTACACGCATGATTTCATATTGTTTTTAACTTGATGAGTTGGTTTCAATTCTCCTTTCCATATCCACAACCAGTAATATCAATAATAGCCAAGGTTATTTCAATCAAAGTTTTTTCAGACCCACTGTACATCATAGTTGAGGCTATAGACAAAAATTTTGGATGGGGACTATACTGAATGGCTTTCATTAAAAAAGTTTTACCTGAGATAATTTCAGCGTTCAATATTTTGCGTGACGTACGGTCAGTGCTCGTTGACTACGGAAAAAATACTCAGCCTATCCCCTTCCAACGGTCTACTGTAATTTACTCACTAACTTCAAACTCGTTTTCCGCTTTTTCAACTAGCTCGTCCGTTATCCCCGTCTTTTGACGTCCGAATCGTCTATGGTGGTATTGAGAGGAATCAGCTGAAGATAAGACCGGACGATGTCTCTCCTGACGTGACGCAGCTGACAATGTGCATGTGGCTGAAGCTTCAAACTACAGGGGATTGGAAAAATGACATTAATAACATGGATTTAGCAGCATACCGTACATATAGTAGGGATGTTATTTACGTCAAACTCTATGGCGAACGTAAAGGCGGCATGCGTTTGTACGTTTTCATGCTCACATTGCATGCTTCATCGACATTTTGGTAAGCATGTCTCTAAGTCATGTCTCCCTAGCAATACGAATAATCAAGTATGTTGCATTTGTTTATTATTGCAATTGAAGTGAAAAGCGAGGCCATTAGCTATAAAACTGACTACGACCATCCTACCATTGCTAAAGTATAAAAGACAAAACCATTGCTTGACACTTATTCCTGTGTCTTTACGAAGCCAGCTTAAGACTGAGCGACCAGAGCACCGTAAGACAGTTAAGCTAGCAAACAGATATTTCGACAAGCACTACGTGTCGATATTGTGCGCACCTATTTTATTGTTGCTAGGTAACACTATAACATGCGCAGAGCGAGGACAACCGTGTGCTTAGCCAAATGACTAACTTTGTACATCTCGATTTGTTGTTGTTTTAAAATAAACTTAGTTGAGATTTCAAGGCACACAATTTGAGTCACTCTGCTTCGGGTTGGATGAGTGTTAGCTCTAAATTGAGTATACAGAGTTTCTTGTACAATTTCACTTTTTAATTTGGCACATGTGGAGACTGAAACGTTACGCAGTAAAGTGTTTCTCTGGTGAATTTGTCTTTGCCCGAGCAAATCAGCATATGTCTTTTGATTAACCTTTTATTTTTTTCCCATTCCTTTTCCTGACAGCTATACGAAGGGTACAGTCAAAGAGCTCGATGATCATCATTGGCATCATGTTTGTATGGCCTGGGATGGAAACGCACGAACAATTAAATACTTCAAAGATGGCAACTCGATTCCGTCAGACGATGATTGTCAAGCACAGGATAAATTAAAAGGAAATCCAAAATACCTAACTGTAGGGTATAGTAGGAGAAAACTTGGCGATGAGGTACGTTTAACTGGTTTTAACCTGTGGGACAGAGTCCTAACTAATAAAGAAGTACTCGACAACGCCAGGTCGTGCCAAGAAGTTTTGGGTCATCCTGTGGCACAATGGAATGATTTCTACAACGCAGCTCAAACTAACGCTAAAGAGCATGTTGTTGAGCCATCAGAATGCAACGTGGATGGTTAATTTGTATTGACTACCGAATTAAAGTAATTTGCAATCTATTGAAATTTTGCTTGCTTATTCTTTTTCTGGTTGCAATAAACGTCCAAACATTGTTTGTTCCATTTTGCCACCTCCTCCTTCTTTTTAAAACTTTCGCCTAGGAAATTATTATTAAAATTTTTTCCTCTAATCGTTGACCCCAAACGAATCACATCTACAGTTCATGCAAAACAAGCCAGTTAGTATGTGTAATGAAATGGTGACTAAAGAGATGAGGGGACTTATCCTACCCGTGTCTAGGGGTTTCAGTATAAGTCTGTGACCGGGAGTCTACACCTCTTACCGTCGTCTGTTTAGCTTACGAGCAGGGACTCGTGTGGTTATTACCTTACGGTCCCTCTACGAAGCATGGCCGCCGGCAGTCGCTTATGGAAAAGTTATTGGAAACCCGACGTGTCTATTCTTGTTTTGCGAGGGAGGTTACATATCCCTTAATTTTACGAGCTCGTCATTGGACACCCTATTGAATCCAATAGGGTGAGTGGGGTTTTTGTCTATTTCATATGGGGAAGTTTCAGTACCCCAGTCACTTAAAAACTTAACATAAGTTTCAAGAATCGCTTTTAGAAGGCCCTTCACAATTTGACTTGATTTCTATGAAGTGTTTCAAAATTGAGTCAATTGTCAAATCCGTTCTGCACATTTGGTCATATTCTCGAAGTTAAAGGTATAAATATCTTAGATTTCTAACAGTAGTTTAATGTTTTATGTAGCGTTTCCTAATGCCGCAACTTCTTCTGACAAACTTAGAAACCTGTACGCTATTTGACACTTTCAATAAATATCCATAATTTTACCAAGAACTTTGTTTCTAATTCAGGCTGATGTTACTTGATTGTTCTCTCCTTAGAATGGTATAATTTGTTCTTGTTCAGTAATACACTCTTATAAGACCATTGGAGTTTGTTTTCGTTACTATTGGCAACTTTGTTCTGAAGCGTTAATGTTTTTGTTTACTTTGAACTACGTGATGACGGATATTTTCTTTCTATGGGACCAGTAAATGATTTTGATATGTTAGACCAGCACTGCCAAAAATTGAATTGTGAAAGCAGCACTCTGTTACAAAATATGTAACATTACGAGCACGGTAATATTAATTAATTGGAACTGAATTTCTTGCCTCGGTATAAACCAAACAGATCACCTAGTTTAAATGCACAATCGGTAGAAATGCGAGGGAGCTTTACGTGGGAAAATTAAACAAATACTAATCTTGATCACTCGGATCTCCTTGTGGTCTGTTTAGTAGTTCGAATTAATATTCTACACAGTCGATCCCCACTCTCTGGTGATGGAAATGCCACCTAAAATTATCAAATGTTACGGGAAGAACGAATCGTAAAGAGAATGAAACAGCTATCATTTGACCTAATAAAAAAAACTAACATATTCCAATAGAAAAGAATCACTCTATTTTAATACAGTTTTAAAAAACTCTCTGCCGCTCCCTCTCCTGATACTGAGAAGTCTAAATGAGATTTGTAAATCAATTCCAGGAAAACAGTGTTGTTTTTCTGTCTTTTTTTGACAATATATCGTTGTTGTGTGACTGTTTCTTCGATTTCCCTTTCTGTCTTTTACCAAGACGCCGGTAAAGGTTAATTAAAATCTAGAGACAAAAAAAAACCCATATAACCCTGCTGATAAATAAAATTTTTCGCTTCACAAAATCTTACCCCAGTAAGTGTCGAAGGTTTTAGACCACCTTACGAAGACTGTTTACATTTACAGGTCTGTCAAATAACGTTACATTCTGTGATAAATAACTCATGAATTCACCAAAGGCTTGCTTATTTTACAGTCAGTGTTAAGCCAAAGCGCTGGGTAAGTTCGCTTCATCAAGCAAAAGGTAATATAGCGAACGAATGTGAAGAACCAAACTGCTGTCAAGCCCTGATACAAGGCATTGTTCGAAAATTGGAAAAAAATTTTTTAGCCAGTTTAAAGGCACTTTTTTTCAATTAGGGCAGAGACAACCGTTGAAAAGAAAACTGTAAATTGGGCTCGAACAAAGCTTACCATGATTGTTTACTACAACAAACTTGTGAAGCGAGCCTTACTTGTTATTGCCAATTGAACCGCTAATAATAATCAACTCGTAATAACTTTCTTAAAATTAACAAAATTACAAGACAGTTTCAAAGATCACAAAAGCCCTCATATAAATAATAATCTTTGATTTGAACATTTACGGACTTAGCCGCATTTGTTCATGTTCACGTTACCTTTTTGGTGGACACCTCCCTCTTAGCTTACGACGAGGTTCGAGGTAAGAAGCCAGATTGTCATTTTTTGTTTATTTCTCTCACAGAACAATGGGAAATCTCTACCTGGTCATCGCACTTTTTCTAGTCCTTCCAGATCCGGCATGTAAGTGTGATTATTTTATATCAGTACCGTGTTCTTACTCCAACAGCTTCCTCTTTTCTTATCGCCTCGAGTGCGAGCGTTTCATAACGGAATAATGAAAGGCAAAGTCGGCCCTAGCGTAGTATCTTTCACAGGACAGAGGTGCCAGAAAGAGAATTACCGAATACGCGCCTCTAAGAATAGAAAAAGAGTGAGAAGTACTGCCTACCACGTATTCAAGGGGTTTAATGGTCGAACAAATTACTCAAATGAGAAGGGAGTGAAATACGCTCCCCCCGCTGATGTGTTGCTTTGTTCTCTCCTATGTGATAACAATATAGCTCAGGGATGCAGTGTTTAACTTTAGGAATATGAGAGTGAGTTTAATTTCTATCGAAGAAAAGCAGAAAGAGTACATTCTAGTCAGAGTTGGTGATAGTAAAGGTTTGTATTCCCCTTAAACTACAGGCCCTATTTACAGTAAAATAGCTCTGAAAGCTTGGGTCTCCATAAAATATCTTCACAGTTAGAATATAGTAACCAATACTACTTTCTTTCGAGAGTGACGTTAATTGATTTGCAGCTCACATAAAATGTAACTTACCTTTTCGAATGAAAGAAAACGAGAGTTTCTGGTAAACAAGCATTCAGTTTATCATTTTTTCTAGCTTTCAGTTCGTACGAAAATCTACTAATTATTAGTAGTGTTCCATACTTGAGAAGAAATACGTGCGATCGAACACGTGAGTACAACACTTTGCTTATTTCTTCACTTTAGTAAGTAGACGAATTATGTCTTACTCCGTACATCATCATTTTGCCTGACACTTTACTTACTTCCAACATAAATTGACCAACACTCGTCTAATATTTGTTTTGAATGTTGGTTATAGATTACCCTGTATTTTTTCGGGATAAAATGATAAAATGCTTAGAAGGAAATAAGTTAATTCCTTCCATATTTATTACAGAGCTAGCAGTATTGCTTAGAAATTATTGCCACCCTCATTTTATCGGGTGCTTGGCACTAGTTCTTCTAATGTCAACATGGATAGCCAAGTGTCGACAAATACACCGCTTCACTGTGCAATTCACTGAACGGTGCAGTGTACAACCCGCCAGGCACGCAGTGAACTTATGACTTTCGTATTCTTGTGCAATCATCTTTGGAAAAAAATGTGCTTTATTTTTCATAAAAGGATTTGTACTAATCAATTTATATTTTAATCCTTCGGACACTAACACCTGATTAATATCATTTTGTTTTTATATCTTTTTAGCGAGGGAGCTTTTTGATATCTTGATTAAGCAAACATTGGCCATAAACTCATTTTCTGTGGAGGACATTCCAGACTTATCAGAAATGACCATCTGTTTGTGGCTTAAAATTGGAGCAGGATGGGGCACCAGTTCAAACAAAAGAATGTACCTTGTCTCCTATGACATGGATGCTCCGAAGACGTTAAAAACAAACAGCTTCTTTCTAGGCCTCGACGACAGCAAACATCTAGTCTTTGGAATTGGAACTGAAGTACATCCGTGGTAAGTGATACATAAGCTGATATCTTATCAGGCTGGACAACGCTTAATTACAGAATACACAACAGTGGTGACAGATGATTTCAGACGATATTCGCAAAGTTTCAAACTTCACGGGGTTATACCGATGAGAATAGTCATCAAATTGCTAACACTATTCACCAGTAGAAACATACACTTTACAGATAGGACTTTAAGTCACAGGTTACAAAACTGTGCTGTGTTGTTTTTTACAATGCTTGATCACATTTTGCACGCCTATTTGCATGAGTGGTTTTCAAAGCCTAAAATTCATGTTTGTATAGTACAGGTGCATTGTGTGGTTTGCACAATCGTTGGGATAACATTATCATGGACCTACAAAGATTGAAAACATCTCACGTGATACAAAATGCGATTAAATAAGTTATCTGACTTTCTGTTCCTTAGTACTTTCGACGCTACTAATCTGATGGATGACCAATGGCATCATATCTGCATCTTATGGGACGGCGCCGCAGATTCAGGATACACAAGTTACTACAGGGACGGAGCTGAAGTCAAATTTCAACCCTGTTCTGTCGGCACAAGGAACGCTGGAGGGGCGCTTCAAATTGGAGGAGGAGGAAGAACAGAAAATGTTGGCATAACAGGCTTTAATCTGTGGAATAGAATACTCACTGAATCTGAGATTGTTGAGGAAGCTAATACCTGTGACGGAGGCATGGGTGGTCCCACTGTGAAGTGGAGGGAGTTCTACAAGAAGTCACTGAGAAGGAATTTTATAAGAGAGTTGTCTCAGTGTGTAGTTTCTGGAGGTAAATATCTCAGCGCATTTAAACACATAAATTTGGCTTTGACTAAAAGTTCTTAGCACTTAAAAAATATGGATACTCCCACTCAACAAGACTCCATGGACGTTACCAATTTCCTGGTAGGACACTTTACACTCAGAGCAGCTCCCATCTGGGAGTATCAATAAGTACTGGCCACAAGAACACTTCCTTTTTCCCTAGGTTGACTAGCTTTTTTCTTCAACATTACAGAAAATGGGCTAATATCTGTTATAATGAGCAAGAAGGCTCCTAGGACTGATAGGATTGATTATTATTTTACTTGCAGCTATTGATGGGGGCTACACTGACTGGTCAGCAGTTTCTCAGTGCAGTGTCACATGTGGTGGAGGAATCAAGACTCTTGCTAGGACCTGCAACAATCCCCCGCCAGCCAGGGGTGGGAAGGACTGTCAACACCTTGGGGCAGCCAGGAAGAGACAGGAGTGTAATACACAACCGTGCCGTACGTTCTACTTTACATATATTTAAAACTATTATTTAATTTCATCATTGGTGTTTAATATTTCAAATCAACTCAAATTCGGTTCATAGTTTTTTATTTAAATTCTAAAGGAGAAATTTGTACGAGTGCTCCTCCTTTTATGGTCAAAGTTGGGTCGAAACGGTTTTTCGTTTAAAATGATTGAGTCTTTACCAAATTTTGTCACCAGACAAACAAACACTCAGAATGAGTTTTAGATCTAGCCCTATTTATGCTTTTTTCGCCTTATATACAGAGTGTTCGCGCTACATTTGGGTACAAAAGAGCGCTATTAGTAATGAGCATTTCAGGAAACTGCAAACTCGCTTTGGACAAAATCTATTATCTTTCGAGAATGTGTAAACCAACAACATATAACGTA